CGGGTCTCGAACCCGCGGGCTCAGGCAAGCCACTCACCTCAGTCTCCCAAAGGCACAGGATTACAGGCTGAGCCACCGAGCCCAGCCCAGAGACACTTTTAAGGGTAGATGTCACATTTAGGCACCACCCCAGGACTCTCACAGTCTCGTGGTGGAGCATGAAGAAAGGGAGGACCGTATTTCCTCAGTTTCTCCCCACAGCATGGGGACCTCTGGTCAGGAAAGCTGCAATCCTGGGGTGAACTCTCCCTAGTTGTGGGCGTGCTGGCGGACAGGTGCCTACACCCAGCGCGGGAGACCTGCTGTTGTGTCTGCTGCAGGAGGTGGGTGTGAAGACGACTGGTGGAAGGAGGCATAGGTGGGTGTGGCACAGGGAAGGGGGAGGGAGGACAGACAAAGTGGGAGAGGAAGGAGGAGGAAAGCAGAAAAGCTGGGCAGAACACCTGAGGGCTGACAAGACGTCTGCTTGGCTGAGCTTTCATCAGGTTCCTGAACCTTCTAGGGCCATCTGTGCCTTTCCTTGGAAAATCCTGCTTTAGCCAAGAGCCCAGCTAAGCCTGCGTGTCAAGAACCTTCCACCTGTCGCCTGAGACCAGCAGGTCGACACTGGGGTGGCCCTGAGCGTGCCACAGCACTCCAGCCTGGGCGAGCAGGCGTGACTCCAACTCAAAAAAAAAGAGAAACTTCCACCTTCACTATCTGACCAGGTGTCACGTCTCCACCCTCCCTGGTGATGTCTGACCACACTGGCCTGTCTTCAGCAGGAACCCTGTTGGGTCTGTTTCTCCAGAACCCCTTCAGCCATGTTTCCTCCTGGTGATTTCCCACGCCCTCACCCCCATCCCAGTCTCCTCTGAAGTCATCGTAAAGGGTGCCCTGTCATAGCTCCAGCTTCAGAGAACGGAAAGGGTGGCTGGGATGGTTTGAAAAACATCTGTGATAATGTCCAGCACATGACAGAGGGTTCATAGACATCAGCCCCTGCCTTAGGACTGAAACCACATTGGGATGGGATCTGTGGGTCTCAACGTGTGGGTCTTGGATGCTTGTGGCTGTGGAGTTCCTGCAAGGGGCGCAGAGTCATGAACCCCCCGAGCATCACTAGCGGTCCAAACGCCCCTTGTTCATCTTACACAAGCACACCAGTGTTTACGGATTGGCCGCCACTGGAGGGTATCCTCTAAAGTCTATTTTCTTTCTTTCCTTTTTTCTTTTCTTTCTCTCTCTCTCTCTCTCTCTTCCTTTCTTTTCTTTTCTTTCTTGTCAGGATCTTACTCTGTTGCCCAGGATGGAGTGCTGTGGCATAATCACGACTCACCACAGCCTCTATCTCCTGGCTCAGGCGATCCTTCTGCCTCCGCCTCCTGAGTAGCTGGGACTACAGGCATACCACCGCATTTGCCTACTTAAAAAAAAATTTTTTTTTTTAAGGCAGGCTCGGTGGCTCAGCCTGTAATCCCACGCTTTGGGAGGCTGAGGTGAGTGGATTGCCAGAGCCCGCGGGTTCAAGACCCGCCTGAA